AGTTGTCTGAGTAGTGGGCAGTGCTGGCTGGTGGCCTTTTGCTGACCAGGGGGTTGTCATTCTGCAGTGGGTTGTGTCACCGAGATGAGGTATTGACCCCAGGTTTTGTCATGGGGGGTAGGGGTTGATCTGAGGGATTCTGGAGAGTTTGCAGCTCTGAAAAGCTGCAGCATTTTGGTTAAAGAGTTAGGCTTGAATTTTACATTCTGGATTGTGTGTGTTTGTGAGAGAGAAAATGCTTCTGAACTGTGTTGTACTGTCAACAGCTAATAGAAATTGTTCTTTAGTTCAAAGTGTGGCGTCTTGTCTTTTTCATGTGAAAGACCCAAATTCTATCATAATAGTGACTGTGAAGTCCGAACATGAAGCATATTGACAAATAGGAAATCTTAGGCAGCTATGGAATTGGTACAAATGCATTGTTTATGGAGTCTCAGTGTTGCTGGTGTTGCTCTTTGAGACTGGAACCTCTTAGGCAGTGGTTCCCAAACTTTAACAACCTATGAACCCCTTTCACTAAAATGTTGTGTCTCGTGAACCCCCTGCTAAAAATGAATATTTCCAGGGAGTTTCTCCTTTACCTGAGTATAAATTATAAAAGCATGATCTTGGAAATATAAAATTTGTTTTTATGACATGCTTATTGCACATAAATAATAATAAATAATCATTACAGTATTTTTATTACATTATGAAAACGGCAACACTCTTCCAAGATCTCACTTTCATAGCTTGTATCGCTTTGAATAAGTCTGTTATAAGACAAGGATCCTATGTTTCATCAAGGAGTATCAGATGTGAAACAGCATTAAGGTATTTAAGAAGCCAACTCAAAGAGTTCTTCCTACACAAGTATTCAGGTCTTGAACAGTCCAGGCAAACAACGCACGTTACAACAAAGCTTAAACTTGTTCTTCATAATAATTTTAAAAACAGCAAAAAATATCCACCTCCCTTTCCATTTCTTATAAGGGGTCTTGAAGTTTAAATCTCCTCGGTGTGATAGATACACTTGCTTTGACCTGCTTAGCTCTTGGAAGACCAGGGGCTCCGTGCTGCTGGTCCCGTGCTACCCCGGAGTCTCTAGGGACAGCCCTGTCTGCCATTAGGAAATTTTTCCCTGAGAACCCCCTGCAACATTTAGTGAACCCCAGTTTGGAAACCACTGTCTCTAAGGTTTCCTCTTGAAATGTAGAGCTGTTGAAGAGTTTTATAATAAGGAAAGAGCTGAGTTTCTTTGTTTTGTTTTTACTTACCAGGGAGACAAGATGTCATCTGTCCTCTTTACTTGGAGTAGCTGAGAAGAACCAGGATTCAAAATGAGAACCAACAAGGTCTACAAACTCGTCATACATAAGAAGGGCTTTGGGGGCAGTGGTCAGTATCCGTTGGGTCATAAGTATTTTTAAGGCTGCTGGTTTCATGAACAGTGATATAATCAGCAGTTTTCCATAATATTTCTAATTTAACAGTGATAAAGCTAGTTTCCATTTTTGTTAGGCTTTTTCAAACAAAATATTAAGGGATTAGCCTTTGTGTAACCTACAGTGTCACTAGTCCGAAGGTGTAAAGCCCATTGATAGTAGAATACAAATTAAAATCCACAAGTGCCAGATTACAGTAAAAATGTTAGCTTCTGTGACATTAAAATATCTTTGACACCTTTTCTGCTTTTCTTTTGTCATTTTGTCCTCCTTTTTTGCTATCCCTATTGCCTCTTGCTTAGCCACAGATTTGGGAGAGGCTGTAGTGGCCCAGTAGTATTGCTGCACATGGATATGTGTGGACTCAGAGTTTGTGGGTCCCACTGGCAGGATCTAGGAGCTCTGTGTAGGGTTTTCTATTTTATTCTTGTTGAGGTTGTGTGGGAATGGAGCCTTTCATTTGTCCGGAATGTTTCCCAGTGGTCAGTCAAGAAGAGTTATTGATGTGTTCCTGAGAAAAATCTGATCATACAGCTCTCACTGCTGCCTTGATAAAAGTCATGGTCATGTAGTTACAAAAGTTACATAGGATTCCAAAACAGCATTTCATAAATGTACTTAGATGCTCAGTTGCCCAGCCTCTTTGTTTTGTTTGCCCACTGTCACTTTGGAATCACAATCACAACATATTAATTAAGTTCTGTTAATAGTCCTTTATAATTCACTGTATCCCCACCAATGTTTTAAAACTGAGAAAAACCAAAGAAGTGTGGAGATTTTGGGTATTAAGCCGAGACTGGTTCCTCTTGCAAACAAATATTGTATGACAATCCTATGACTTGGAACAGCGGAAAAGTCTTTTTTCCCCAGAATTATCCTGCCTCTTCAGTCTGGTCAGAGTAGTTACTGTGTGAAGGATGTACTGAGTGGTAAATTAACAGATGGATGTGCAGCATATTACAGTGCATAAGTTCCTGTGTTTTCATTTTTATCTGTTGATTGCAGGCTGTCTCACTGAATTACTATCTTTGTCTTCCAGATGACGAATTAATGATGAACCCCAAAGTGTTTCTTCACATCAAGCTGGGAGATGTTGTTGAGATTGCACACCCTAATGATGAGTACAGGTGAATTGTCTTTCTGCTAATATCACCAAGTATAGCTGGAGCACCTAAAATACCAATCTCTCCATTCCTTTAGAGTGTAACAACTTGAAGAATGAGTAGACACTGAGGGACCACTGGGTATGCCATACAGATATTTTGCTGCAGCATAGAGCTATATCTTTCTGTTTGAAAGGAAATAAAGGGGTGACTTTATCAAATGGCCTTCTTCTATAGTCTGACATGTTCCATGTTATGTGGCATTAGAGGCTTTGCTGGCCATACTTGGGATGAGTAGCAGCTGTTCTTGAAGTAGTTCCTCAGGCCTTTATTTTCTTTCTTGCTGTTACATAGCGAGGTTCTTTAATCCCATGGGTCCTGAGGTATAGGTTTGTATAATAATAATAATTAGCTCTTTTAGGATAAAGAATGGTAATGTTGATCAGATCAAGGGAAAGAGATGTTTTAACTTGTTCTCTTAGAAATTGTTGGGTTCTGAGTACCTTTTCTGCTAGGTGAGTATTGTTAATGCTCTAGCTTGTCCCCTATGCAGTATAACTAGGTGCCTTTATTGTGATGGAGGAATTCAAACCCTCCATGGTGACAGCAGGATAAGTGGCTGGATTCTCCATGTCGTTGTTCACCTTCTCTCTCTTGTGTTCCAGCCCTCTGCTCCTGCAAGTGAAGTCACTTAAGGAAGATTTGCAAAAAGGTAAGACTCCAGACTCTTGTAGTGTGACTATAAGGCTTAACAGAGGAAATCGCAATGAAATTAACCACAATTTCTAGTTTTTTTTTTTAAATGACTCTCCTTATTCTAACTTGTCAAATCTCTGCTTTTCAATCAATCAATCAATTAATGGAGATATCCTATCTCCTAGAACTGGAAGGGACCTTGAAAGGTCATCGAGTCCAGCCCCCTGCCT